AACAGAGTTCAATAGTTACGAGGTTTTACAGCACAGACGTATAATATGATTGTTCAATAATCTTTCCATTAACTGCACGCGGTTTAGACGTAGGTATAAACAATAAAGACTTACGAATACTTACCTGCCTTTACGCATGTACGCAAACAATTATAAATGTTTGTAAAATACGAGTACACACCTAATCGACATACTTCATTACACAACGATTCATTGTTTTTTAAGCAAAATAGTTTGCAATCGGTTGTTACGTTATGGCTTCGATAATTTAATTTGCATAATAAAGTAACTCGCAGTCTAAGGAACGTAGATATCTTATTATGTGTAAACAAAGCAGTAAGCGTTGTACGGACTAAGCGTTCCAATGTATGCCTAATCAGCTCTTTGGTATATTGAATACGCGCAATAGGTCCTTTAACACTCGATAAAACTCATAGAGTTGTATAATTTGATGCAATTTTCATTATTTAAAGTTAGAGGAAACGTGTTCGCCATGTTTGCAGTCCAAAATGAGCGGTCGCTAAACGCGTTGCTGAAGATACGGCCAGAGGCGGATTAAGCCCCAAGAGCGCCCTAGGCAAGAACTCTCCCGGTTGGCCCGTTCCCGGGACGGGCAGACCGGGAGAGTTCTAGGCCTCTTCAGGTCCCGCTCCACCCTCTTCTTCTCGAGCATAATTTGCTCGCAGAAGGAGGTGGCGAAGTCTCACACAGCTTTTAAGACATTTTTCTTCTAGTTTCGACACCTATTTGAATAATATAAATCTTATATAAATATAAATCTTATTAAATACTTACATAATAAATTTAAATTGAAATTTATATCCACCAGTGCTACAAGTAATAAAAAGTCAGTAGGTTCATAATTAGTTAGAGTAAAAGCCTATACAAGTAATTAAAAAACTCAATTCAATTTAGTGAGGTCTAATATTAGGTAGATATTATACGTAGGTACTCACGACAAAACAACGTAGGTATGTTTTAACAGTAAGTCATTTATGGTACAAAACTTATATTTGTAATAGTTACGTTTGTTACAAAGTTTATATTTCAGTTTTATATTCATTTAAACATGCACCAAGTAGGTACCACTCTACTCATTTAGTAAAACAAACCTACAAAATAAAACTGTTTCAGCAATGTCAGAAGTCACGTTCTTTTAAGTAAAGAACACGAAAAGCAGGTTTCAACTTTAACTCTGTTTATTTACAATTTTATAGTTGTGTTATCACATCCCATTAGTTGATTAGAAATCTTTTTATACCTACTTAGTTGTGTTTAATAAAAACAAAATGGCCACCATTTTTATTCTTATTTTATGAGATAATCTATTAAAAGTCTATCTCATTATAACATTCAATAATAATTGACATGTCTAAGGAAAAATACCTAGTTTTATTTTCTTAGTGATAAACCTACAGGTGTCAAATTTTTAGAAAAAAATCATTTTGCAGTAAACGTATTAGGCAGCGGGAATCTACGTTACGACTCGGACTCGGAGGTAGATATAGATAGTACCTTATAAGAAGTATATGTATAAGAATAAGGTGTATAGAACACCTTGTCAAGTTTTGAATAATGGACTTAATACGTAGGTGTTTTTAGTTTGAATTGGTTACGACGCAATAAGTACACAAGTTTAAAGCGAATAAATCGACAAGGCCGGCTAGCTCGCGGTCTGCCCAGCAGTTTCAAGGTTGTTTTTGTGTATAAACATGAACGATCGATCGCGTAGGCGGCGAGCTATCGCGCATATTCAACACAAACGACCTCTAAAAACAAAGAGGAAATAAGACAACAACATGTATCTTAACTATAATTTTTATTAGCTTAAATTATTACAGTCATTCTAATACCACGATAAAGGCATGGAAAACATAATAATCTTACTAGAAATAATAACACAGCAGTTTTAGTGAGCTTTACAACAAGCCCAAGTAGAGTTTGAGATCAATCGTGGAACGGTGTTATGTCCATTGCTTGAAATGTATATTATTGCGGCTCACCTCGGCCGTAGGCTCCTCACTTTCCACCTCATCCTCTGGTTGTGGTGTGCAAAGTAGAAGCCCTGCGTCAGCAAGAACCGCCGTGGATGTTCCGTTGATCTCTGAGACGAGGAACAGCCCGAACTCTCCTCGGGTATCCGCCATAAAATCCTCCTTTCACTTGGCATATCAAAAGTCCTTTTACAAGCCATAGTCTACTCACGTTCAAAGACCCATTTAATGCTTGTTAGATTTCTTATTGTTCTCGGTGTTGACTAGCTTCGTGACGATCTTTCTGGAATGGCCGGACGGGTCGAAGTGGTTTGTGTGCTCGTTCACCTCCTTCTTGGTTCGCTGTTTGCCGCTGTGTCCAGAGAAAATGTGCTTGTCGTGGTCAAAATTATAGTAGTCGTACTCGTCAAAGAAAGCTTCGGACATATTTACGTTTTAAAAATATGTGAATATTTAAATTACAGAGAATTTGTCGTGGTGACAACGTTACTTCAGAATTTGTTTTTACTGAATGTTCGCCTCCAAGACAGCGGGGCGTTTATAAAGGCTGGTAGCGAGGTATCGACACGTCACTGACCGCATGCGCGTCGATAAAATTCTCGAAGCGTGATTGGTTGAAACTCCGTCGACGACCTGGTTATGAAGGATGTTTTGTTTATTTATAAACTTATCTTTGTTGAGTAAGCCGGCTTAGAGTTCTGATACGCACATCTACGTTTTCTACCGGACCACAAAAATGATTTAGTAGAAATGAATTTGTGAGGCACGTTTAAATAACCGTATTGAATTGTCCACACAAATATTTTAATTCGTTCGTGTTATATTTTTCGAGTATGTATTATGTATGTGTATATTTCTTAGGCACGCGCTGTAGCCTAAACGGCTTGATGTATTTTGGTGTTTGCGGTATCGTACATATCGTACGTGCATATATTCAGAATATATATATAGCGGCTCTGAATATATGAAAATTATAAAAGAACACATGCGTGCTTGTCGATTATCGCGGTAAAAAGTAAGTCTGTAGCACTTAAGGATATTATACCTTTCTAACAGTGAAATAAATTTCAAAATCGGATCAGTAGCAGGTACCGAAAATTACTCCGAACCTAAAAACTCACACTTAACCTCTTTAAAATATTAGTAATATTGGTATAAGTAGTACATAATTAGATTAAATATATTTTCTTTAATATTTATCGATTGGGGTATCAAAATAAAGGTAATAGGGTTTCATAAGTGTCTTACAAAAATATAGAAAATATATTTTAATGTAAATTGGAACGAGAAATGCTTCGAAAGATATAAAACATAATTAAGTTTGTTGATTTAAAGATGCGATTTTCATGCAGTTAGGTTTTGTTAAAGGAACTTGGAACCTATTTGCGAATACCTGTAAATAGCTTCGTTGTTACATAATTATGATGTTTACCGTAAGTTATTTATACTGTTGCTATTCCCAATAAAGTTTTATCCAATATTTAATTTATTCTAGATAACATAGGCATTTATCCATACCATACTGGCTTTCAGGCATTAGTTTTTTTTTATGGTATAAGAGGCCATACGAGCAGACGAGTTACCTGATGGTAAGCAACTACCACCGCCCATGGACACCTGCAACTCAAAAGACACAAGTGCGTTGCTGCCCTTGGAGTCCCTCTCGCTCGAGTCAGCGGGAGGGGGGGATTTGGGCTCCGGTAACCTCACTCACTCAGTGAAAGGCAACGAAAGAATTGCTTAACACCGGTTTTCTGTGAGGCCGAGGTATCACTCCGGTCGAGCCGGCCCATTCGTGCCGAAGCATGGCTCTCCCACGGTGTTTGTTATGAACATTGACAAAAATTTAGTTTTTGTCTAAAGAATTAATTTATTGCCTTTTCGATTATCCGTAATTGGCGATGGCTAAATGTAATTAAAAAGTTGTTTTAGTATTTATATAACTCGATAGAATTATTTCTAGTTAGCAAGATGACAGCCTCATCTAAGGCTTGTAGTTACAGTACCTTGTATGTTAAAAAGTCACCCAAAAAAGTTAAATCGGACAATCGATGGAAACAATAACACAAATAACAAAAAGGTAATTTTCACATCTGAGAATCATACAAAGAACAACCTTTACAAAAGATGAAATCCTTCGAATTAAAATAAGTTAGAAATTAAACCAGTTAAAACGTGAATTTGTTTAAATAATACTACCATGGTAGTAGAAATAATAATATCGTTGCATTATTCAATGCCGGCTCAATGTGATCGTCTATAATATACAGACATAAAATATAAATATGTAAATAAAATAATTATCAGTAAATGGACACGTATACCTACAATAATATGTAATATTGAATCGTTTAAGCATATCACACAAAGGTTTAAGTTGATAAGAAACCCGATTATCTATGCTATGAAAAGTGTACACACTATAAAAATTGTTATGACTTACACTGCCATCTGTGGACGAGTAGCAGTCACTAGAATATCGGCAGTGAAATAAAACGCCTAGATTCGAAATAAGGCTTTTAAAAGAGATTCTAGTAGATTCTATATAGCGCATTTCATTTTGCCTTTTACATTAAATATGTTTATTATACATGATACCTTTTAGAATTTTTTTATTTTTTCCAGAAGAAGAAAATTTAACAAAGGTATGGAGAAATCGCAATTGTGCTTGTGGAGGTATAAACGCTGTTATGAAGGGGACTGCTCGTTACCGGTTACGACGACAGAAAGCCTAGGATAAGGAAGTTTACTCCTTTTAATTTGATTACTGGCGAAATAAAAGTAATAAACATAATAGTAAGATCCTTGCATAACGATAAATGTTCACGATTCGAAACTTTCCACGTAGTTCACCCTTGTGGAAAGTTGTAGGTTTAAGTAACCTACTCTATTTTTATCTAGTTACTTAAAAACATTTAGGCTCTTATTTCCCTTTCGAAATTACTTTTAAAATGACTAATAGTAACATTCGGTAACTTTTTATTTAGTTTTACTGCGTTCACTTACTTGCCAATTTCTGAACATGCAAGTGCATCTGTGCATACAGCGGAATTCCGGAACACGTGGAGTCGTGATGCTGAAGGTTTCAGAGGTTCAATTGGGTCAGGAGGCTCCGCTGTCTTTCTCGAGGAGTAATCTGCACTTCCAATGAGGTATCCACTTAATGCAGACACAAAAACAAGAACTGCTAGTGCTGTTATAAGTATCTTAGTCTTGAGTTTATAGGGCCTGTAACAAAATAAAAAGAAACGTCACGTCATCTGTTGTCGAGTAGCAGTTCTGAGTTTTAAATTTTATATAGAACATTACTTTTTCTGTCATTTAGCGTATATTAATGGCCAGTTCTCTCTAAATAATAGAAGAACTCACTTTTCTGGGTAATCATCGTCATCGTTATTAAAGTTTCCTTGAAATATAGCAAATCTATTGATAGGTGAGACCAAACGAATGGTATCGATGGGTCCTTCGTCAGCGTGGTTGCTTATAAAGTGTCTCCTGTGTAAGCCGTTACGTATAGAATGCTCCATGACTTTATGCTTCAGACGTGACAGTTCTAGTGTAGATTATCGTCTCATCACAACATAACCTTAACACTTTTGTACCAGATTACATCACACGAGTGGATAGGCAACTTTAATTCCAGAATACCGAGACAAGTCAATAATTTATTACGCTTTTGATCATGTAACACGTTTGTTATTAGATTTTCAACGGTGACAATGACGTTTTCATGTCTTGGCAGGTGGTTGCGCAGTGAACTTGGTGCGGGTTTCTTCAAAATCGATAGAAGGAACAGCTGTTTTACACCGGCTTCTGATTATCTTGATGGTAATCTACGCTATAGATAGATGGCGGTACTAGTCAAAACTAATATATTACAAACTAGCGAAGAAAAGTGCATTATTATTTAGGAAATATATATAAATAAATATATTTTTAAAATTTAACTCCTGACAATTTTTATGCTACAATAAAATCAATTTTTTTAACTACATTTTGCTAATATAAAAAAATCAGGCGCTGTCATCACTCACTTTCAAAGCGTAGACCATTACACAATGTAATAAATGTTCACACGTAAAGTTAGTTTCACGTATGTTATATATTTTTATATCTATTCTTTTTATATAACAACAAAAACACTATAAAACCAAATTATTTGCTGCATAATAACAATCAGAAACTTTGGGTATTATTGCACTACACACAAAAGATACGACAGTGTTATGTGTGTAATGTGTATTGCCTAAAACAATTATAATAATATGTTATATTTGTCTTTTAATATGCTTATGGTACATAAGTATATTAAAAGACAAAATATACATTGATATTTTACATACAACTATCCTCGCGTGTAGATATCTTCAGTAGAAATAAGTCTTATATCTTTTACATTATTTTATTACATTTTCTTTCCAATTTTCACTTAGTGACCAATGTTTTTTGAAGGTATTCTTTACACGGGTCGTAGTCTCTTTTAAACACTTGCAAACACTTATATGAGCTCATTTGTAATGATCTAACTACTCTTGTAAACAAACCTTGGTAGATAATTTTAACTTTAAGACTGTTGTATAGAAATTAGACTTTGTATGTATATGTAACTTGGATAACCATGCCACATTTATAGTGGATACTATTTCTTGAGACTGGATCCATATAATTTCTTTTGACGAGTCTACGGACTGAACTGAAGTTGTTAACGATTGTCTGAAGATGTGACCATGGCGCACATTATATATTGCCGTCTCCGATTCAGGTACTCACCAAAGCAGCCATGCCAAGTGAGTACCTGCGTCAGTCGGTAGGTGACGCGACCTCCCTCCCTACCTACCCAAGCTTCGAGGTTAGGCAAAATGGCACGTTGGCGTTGGCGCGCGTTCCGCGGCTATTCTAACAGCGCGCGCCACTGCACCAGTGCCTGGCAGTGAGCGTTCCACTGCATTTTGAGCTCGTCCTGGTCTTCCCCGCTCTCATCCCGGCGGATCGCGAGAGTCTGGTCATATACCCTCGATATCAAAAAGCGGGAAACGTGCCAGGACTGTCGCCGTCTCCTACGAAATGGTGCGGTTTCCCCGTACGATCCTAATAGCCGCTAACCGCTGCGCTTGATTGAGCTTAGCTGGGCAGCGGGAGGAGGCCGATAGGTATTTCGCAAATATCGGCGCTCCGTAGAGGGCCATGGATCGTATCACCACTTCGAATTCCTCACGCGGGGCCCCCCTAGAGACAAAAGCCTCTGTAGGGAGCCCGCCAAAGAAACGTCCACCTAGCCACACAGTTTGCGTGCATTTAAGGTAGAGGGTGTACAAGGCGCGTATTTAAAGAACGCCTTTCTGGGAAATGGGTTTTACAAATAAAGGGTCCCACCTATCCCAGTTCGGCATCTATTACGGTTTAACCGTTTTTTCAAATTAATTATTAGTGAGAAGTAAATAAATGTTACCCATTTGTGTCTGAATCCGGTACTCGGATGAGAACATGCCGTTTTTTCCTCTTTACTCCAGGTTTCGCTTCTTTCTTCAAAGAACTTGCTCTTAATAACTGTTCATTTTGCTGTCCCGTGTTCTCCGACATATTATTGCAACACTGATATATTTTCTATCACTTAGAGATTTTAACTCGCTGTTTCTAGTTTTAAATTCTCATAATAATTCTTTCTCATTCACTCATAGTTTTATTTCATACACAGTTAATACTGAACTCTTAGAACATAGTTTCACAGTTAGCGAAGAGTATAAACGATAAAGCCTGTGTGTTTTCGTTCTGGTGCTATATACCCGTACACTTATGAAAAAAAAAACTTCTTCTTGGGAGTTCTGTAGGTACATCTGAATGTATTACTAAATATTAACATATTGAAGTCATTTCATTAGAATATATAATGAAAAATCCATGGTGTTTATGTGTGTGTATTTCATTGGTTTTTAGGTAACATTGCGTGCAGATTTCGTTTTTATACGTTTGTATCTCACAAAACATTGTTACTGACTGATGACGAAATTCTAGTACATATTTATTTGATAATTTTAGAATAATTAAGAATATTGAGTCATTATTTGTATAAACTGTTGTCTGAGTTACATTAATACGTGTGCGTATACATTTTTGTAAGTACATTATTTTATTGTTTGACAGGTAGATGTCAGATTTAGATCTGTTTGATTGTTTTCACAATGTCATTATTTAAAATGATTATGACGATAAACCCTGCACTGATAATTTAGATAGGAATTTCAAATTATGACAGCTCATTGTATATATTCATAATGAAATTTAATTTTGTAATATGAATTATAATTTGTTTCCGTGGGCTGCAACTGTTTTGGATATATCAACATTGTCATGTATTTTTTCTTTGTTTTGATTTGTAATAAGTAAAATTATTTATTTGTTAAAGCCATTTACGTATCATTCCTGTCTGGTGTAGGCAGAGACAATTAAACACTTTTTGTTACAATCCTGACATACAGGACTGACTGACTGACTGATTGACTTTCGGAGCCTGCCTGCACCGACTTGCCCACTCACCTTATAAACTCCTTCAGTAATTCGCTTTTCGCTCATCTTTTTAAAAGAAGGAGGTTTTGACCTACTTTACCAGGCTGACCAGACTGGTTGGTATAGGGTTAATGTCGAGTTTTCCTTCTTTTTGCAGTGCCGTTGCTCTACGTAATTTGCTCCCTTAGTCGGTTCTTACGACACCCACGAGATGAATAGGGGTGGTGACAATCCGTATTCCTAATCCGTCACCACCGTTATTCGTAAGTAGGAGTATAGTCGGCAAAATGTTAGCGTTTAATATGCCTCTGCCTATCATTTTGGGTAATTTATTATTATTATTTATATTTAGGCGTGACTGATGATGATGATGATGTTTCTTCGTTTGATATGTTTTGACGCCCTTACCACGTTGTCATTGTAATAGGCAAGGACAAAGGAGGATAGATAAAAATATCACGGGTAAACGTAAATCCATGGGCAGAAGCTAGTAGTAAATGAAATGAGCGGTTCTTTTTACAAAAAACAAAAAGTTTTTTTTTTTCAAATAAAATTAATGGGATTTTATTTACTTTTTTTAAATAAGAATTGGTGTTTTATACACATTTTGTGTTAGTTTGACTTGTATCGAAGAAATTATTAAAATAGTAAACAGTTTATTTGTAGTTGGCTTTGACCATGAAAGAAGTCGTTATAATACATCTGTAAAAAGTCCTTCACGCTTTTTTACAATTAAATAATTATATTATCAATAACCTACCTTACATTATTGTTCAGTTTTTAACATCGACTATCACATTTATAATGCTTATTGCATCATTTTATTAGTACGTATCGATTTCTAGTCGTAATATTTATGACTGCGTGCGTCAAATATACTGTAAAAATAGTGTTAAATTATTATTTTTTTTATTTGATTTGTAATTCAAGGTGTAAATTTCTAATAACTACGTTGGTTCAGGTTGGTTTCGAAATTATGACGTAATCGAGTTACTATCGGTCATTTAGTTTAGGACTACATTTGAAACTAATACCGGTCTCAGTGAGGTTACGTAATTGCTCTTTGTAAAAAATAAGTCTGTATGATAAGAAACAAAACCTGTTATGCCGCGACCCAAATCTGTTTTTTTGCAAATGTGTATGTCTTAAGGCATGTAGAAGGAGGTTTAGTTCGCTTATGTAATATAAATCGTAAGAGATGTAAGGTAAATAATAATACGCGGAGAGGATTTATTGAAAAACTGGTGATCGCAGATACGTGAAGTTTAAAATAGTTATTTACTTAAAATTTATACATATATTTATATACCGAGTGGCCTGTGGGCGACGATTTAGGGGAATTCGTCGTCACGGGGGCGGGTCGTCTACTTGTTGTAGATGGCTGAGGTATGTCGGGGCACCAGGGACTTCCTTTCTAGGGTATACCTGGTTCCCCGGCTATTAGTACCCGAGACGGCGTGCGGTTTTAGTCGGTTCGAGTCCGAGATGCCACCGAGAGGTGGTATCCGACGGGATTTCCACACGGAACAAAAAAAGGGGTATCGAAAGAATGGAATTGTGATTCTCGCCCCCCTTTCCCCCCCTCCCCTCCAATGGACGAAGGACATCCGGAACTTAACTTCGTTGACAAAAAGAAAAATATATGTACCGACAAAAAGTGCAAGTTTGTTGACAGAAAGCAAACATTGTTACATAGTGGGCAAATGAGTACATGGGTCAGCTGATGGTAAGTGGGTTGCCGTCCTTTTATTATCCCTTCAGAATTAAAGGGGGAGTTTGGGCGTCAATAAGCCACGTGAAAACGAACGCTCATGTGGACTTGGAGTGGTTAAGCCGACTGTTTAAGGTTTAAGTTTTAAAGCCGCAGGAAGTGATCTCAAGCTGTTCCAAGGCCGCGGGGTTGTCATTTGTGTTTTATTGGAACGAAGTTCCTTATCCCGCTTTACACGCTATGAGCGGATGGGAGCGAGACCGAAAAATGTGTAGCAAGACTTTTTACCGACACTTCTTGCGGAGCTTCTTGTTTTTGTTATTATTGTGGCTCTTCAAACTTGTGTGAATGTCGTTATTCATGAAACTGTTATCTCTTATCGCTATTTACAAGGACTATCGCTGTTTATCTTCATTGCTTATATTTGATCAGCACAACGCTAACTCTATGTCTGTGCAAATCAAAAAACAGGTGATCGTTTGATCACCATCGAGTGTGGTCACATAATAATAATTGTCACACATCTCACACAAGGTCATTTGATCCCAAACTAAATAGTGACTGTGATTTGGTAACCAGACTTCTGATAAACATACTTATATATTACTAAATACATACATATTAGGAATGTATAAATTACACCTAGACTCGAAACAAATGATCGTGCCGTTGTCTTATCACCAGGGCCGAATTAGCCAAGTCGAGGAGCTTAGGCAATGCAATCCTCTGGGCCCCCTTCTTTTTAAGATTCATCTCTTTGTAAGTCGATGAAGGGTTGTGGGTAATGCGTAACCTGACTGATACGTAACTCCTCAAGAACTAACAATAAAAGCGGGGCCCCTAACCGATGCGGAGCGCCTAAACAGTTGCCTACTGGACCTAATGGCTACTCCGGCCCTGCTCATCATACAACTATTGCTTCCGGGTGGGCATCGAATACACCATCTCCAGCTTAGCAGTCAGGGGTCAGGGTCACTAACCACTAGACCGGCAGGTCAGACCTGTGTGTATATTTACATTATATAATTATAATAATAGAATTAGTGCAATCACGTAACAGGTATACGTCTGAATGACGTTTGGAGAATGCTGCACTTCACTGAAATTTGAAGATGTCCAACTAGACACAATTTTTTTTATGGCATAGGGGCCAAATCTGATGGTAAGTGACTACCACCGCATATAAACACCCGCAATGCGTTGTCCGCCTTTGAATGTCTCCAAAAAAAGGAAAGTGGGCAGAAGGTTTATCTCAGTAACCTTACCTTACTGTAACGTAACAAAAGCTTTGCTTAACATCGATTACCAATTTGCAATTAAAACAGATTAAACGTATTTTTAAACTGATATAGTAAATCATGCATGATGTTATTTGAGTTGTTGCTTGCATGACAGGTAAAAAGAAACCGCTGTAGACTCACATATACCTTATCTTCTTATCATCATAACCAATATATTGTGCACGGTTGTTTACAACCTTGCGGAACTGATCATGAGCAATTTCCCCACATTGGAAAATTTATATTCATATTTTTTTATTTAATCTTTTCTTATTTACTATTAGGTGATACATCTAGTTTGATCCCTAAACCATTAAAAATTTTAAAATTAAATCTAACCCACTATGTTGGTCCGATAAAAAGATAAGGAGAGGGAGAGGAAGAGAATCAGTATGCAGTAGTGTAAGTGGGCCGGTCATGTCTGCAGATGGATTGATGGTCGCTGGAGCCAAAATGTGCTAGAGTGGAGATCGCGATTAGGCAAACGTAGTGTAGGGCGCCTGCGGCACGATAGACCGACGGTATAGAGAAAGTGGCTGGCAGCGGATGGATGCGGACTGCCCAAGACCGGGATAGTTGGCGCTCCTTGGGAGAGGCCATCGTTAGCTGTGAAGTGAGTGAGAAAAAGAATAACATGGGACCAAACTAGTATCCATTACTGGTTTCCACCATCTGGATCAATAATCAAATCACCCCCAAATGACCAATTTTTGTAATCGTAACTTAATATACACACAACTACTACAACAACCTATATCCATACTCCATACTAATATTATAACTGCGAAAGTGTGTCGGTCTGTCTGTTTGTTACCTCTTCAAGCTTAAACCGCTGAACCGATTTACATGACATTTGGTGATGCGATAGTTTGAGTCTCGGGAAAGGACATAGGATAGTTTTTATCATCATAGATGAGATTTAAGAGGGTGAAAAGGTGGGTGGAAGTTTGTATGGGGAATCAATAACCGCTAAACCTATTTAAATGAAATTTGGTATTGAGATAATTTGATTCTTGAGGAAGGACATATGTTCCTATTTACCGCGATATCCGACATACACGCGGGCGGAGCCGCGGGCAAAAGCT